GGAATATAGAGAATTACAGGAGTCAAGAGATGGCAGGTATGACTGTTTTAAGCTGATAAAAACATGATTGAACAACTGATTTGACGTGCTAAAAAAGCTGTGGAAAGCTGTGAGCCATCCTGTTTTGAAGGTCAGTCAAAAACCTCAAAACTTAGTATAACAGCATATTTATGTGCTAGTACCACAATATTAATGTGCTACATTATAGGCAATTAAACAGGACATGAAAATAGTTGTACATTATGCAATAAAAGGCGTGGAATGCTTCACAACAATTAAGTAATTAAGAGTTATTATGCTACTTATACACATGCTAACAGCAGCTAATAGGTGTCCCTTTTCCAGTGCACATGTAGGTGATGCATGTGCTGGTTGCATCAGCCAGTTTCAAGGCCAGTGACGCCCTGGCTCACAGAGAAAATATCCACTTCACATAATGTTTCCACGCTTGTATTTTCTAGTTTCCGGTTGTCTTTTGTCACTGAGCCCGCCAGGAAAACAGACCTGACATCACAGTGTGTGGGTAAGTGAGTGAACGGCTGGGTTCCCCCAGGCTCCTCAAGCAAACCGTTGTTCCTTTCTAGCGGTAAAAGGTGCAATTAAATCCTCCCCAACGCGATGAATGGACAGGTTAGGCGATCCCCGTGCTGTTGTTTCTCATCCCACACGGAGCCATCGCCTCTACATTAGCTGATTCAATCTCATCTGTGCTGCCTGGTCTTGGTACACTCTGAGCTCTTGGTTAAATGGATGGGTGTCTCAGGTAATGTCCTTTTGAACTGCTTCCTCTTTAGCCCGGGGATAACCTTATTCCAGACTTAACTCTTTAAAGGCTAATTCATGGGTCTTTGGTTTTGCAGAGCCTTTCAGAAATGACTCCAGTGACCGGCTATCAGAAAAATAAGTGTGCACTTTGCGAGAGTTTAATGGTATTGCCCAATAACGCATCACTTCCTCTTGCATAAGTGTACGGGGGTCAGTGAAGCGAGGGTCTGTTCATTCCTTTGGGAATCCCAGTGAGACTGCATGTGCCTTTGACACTCTTTACCTTTGACATAACAAACTAAAGGTTGTTTATCTCAATTCAAATGGACATTGATCGACAAATAAGTCCATATGATTAAAAATAAATCAAGCTTCAACACAATGGAAAACATAAGTCAAACAAATATGGGTTATACCATTCGTTATAAAGGTTTCATAGAGTAAATGGCCACACGCCCTGGGCTACAGATAGTTACCATGGTTTCTATTCACCCAAAGAGAAGTGGGTTGCCTTGGACACTAAAGGTATCTATCATACACGTGTTCAGTTCCATGGATGGAAATCAACCGGCAACATCCGGTCTTACGAAATGAAGCTGATGCAGAAGTACTTAAAAACAGCAGTTCACCGAATGCCCGCAAAAACACCAGACACCACGTACACAATAATTGTAAAAAGCCCAAAAACAAACTAATTTACCACGTGGATTCAAAACTAGGGCTGCACGATATATTGTTTGAGCATCGTCATCGCAATGTACATGTGCGCGATAGTCACATCGCAGAGACTGCGATGTCGGAGGTCAATGAACTCAGTTAATTTCAAGGGTAGCTGACTGAGATACACTGCATGTGACTCTGCATGTGCTGTGCAGCAATCTGCCAATCACATTTGTTCTTTACTCAGTTGCCAATCAGACTACCCTGCTAGCCGTCAATCAAAATCCAAGAGGAGCAAACCACGCCCCTTCACATGGAGTAAGTCACTGGTGCTACCGGTGTTGTGCTGAGAAACACCGAGAATTACTATCGGAACATTACTCATCACTGTTTAGCCCCACAAATAAGAATTGTATGGGTTTTAAATTGTACATTTCCGTAAAACCACTCTACCATAAGCGGTGCACGTTTTGTGAGGTGCATGCAATTCTCGGCAGACATGGGTTTCTCGGCACAACATCGTTTACAACAACGATTGCAAAATGAACAACGAACAAGAGAAAACCACCGAAAATGAATATTTGTTGCCAAAATGGAAAGGAAAGTCAGTTATCTAGAATTATTTCTGTTAAAAGAAGGATGATGTCGACCAAAACACGTGTTCTGTGTTCACATGTTGCCACAATAACGTCCCAGCACAATAAAAGCTAAAAACATCTCTGAGACAGACAGAAGCCATTCTAACATTCACGAAAAGAGGTAAGATCAGTGCAGGTTAACTGTCCTCAAGATTTCAGCAGTGCAGCATTACATAAAGTGCTGTTCAGTTCATCTGGTAAAAATTCCTTTATTTTTTAATATCGCAATATTTATCGCAGGATTGAAATAATTGCAATGTTGTTTTTTTCCCAATATCATAGTAGCTAAGGTCAGAAGGTTCAGGGTTCCTACATGGTTGGAATTTCCAAACTTTTCCATACCCTTCTTTTTTGGAAATACCTACTTTTCTATTTAAGAAAACAGTATTTTTCGTACTTTCTTTTTAATTTGCCGTACTTTTTAAGACCTGGAAATTGATCAAATTACTTCCATACTTTTCCATACTTGCTTAGGAACCCTGAAGGTTGGCGAATCAGACACCCAGCTGGCCACCTCATTTGGAAAGCACACTGAGCTGATTTTAGAGAAGGCTTTAGATTAGTCTGACTGAAAGTTATATTAAATTAGCATTACCAACATGGCAACCATACTGAATGCTTTCAAAACTCGGCTTCATAAACAACTGGGTGACGTCATGAATGCAACCTCCATTTACTACAGTCTATGGTGGAGACGCCATTTGGATTTTACTGATGAATTTATAAATAAGCGACAAAAGTTCATATCAGAGTGGAGTGAGCGCCTAAAGCTGATGTCACCTGTCACGCGGCCAAAACTGTCTGGTTTCAGTTCCCCGAAACGCCGATGGCTACACTTACATAACAGGTCCGATACAGTGTTTCCACTGTCATGTGAAAACAGTGTTCAGAGGTTATTTGAGAACTGTAAATCCCTGCTCCACTCTGGCTTTTCTTGAGCTTTGAAAATCAGAAGAACGTAAAATTTAAGTAAACACAACTTTTATGAGTGACTTCTTGTTTATATCTTCTTTTGCCTGAGGCGATTCTTGTAATGTATTAGTCAACATCGTTCCTCATCACGTTTTCTTTGATTATGTAAGTGCATTTACTTTGAATTACAGGACAAACACACCTTAGATAAACAACCTGCAGCTTAACTTATGGGAATAATTCCCACCTCGGCTTTATTTTGTACAGCAGGTGTTTGTGCGCCCATCCAGCTTACAGTAATATAATTAAACTGAGCGAAGACTACATTTCCTTCTCATCATTCCCGGGACTTTCACCACGAGGCCCATAAAGAACCTAGTATGTGTGCGATTGTGTTTACAAGGGGAAAGGTTCTCTGGCAAGACGCCTGTGTCTGAAATGATGTCCTCTTCGTTCAATGCAGGACCGCCCACTAGATACATACAAGCAAAGGAGCTGCCGAGAAATAATTTGACAACACAGGATGTTGTTAGTGGACTGTCTTGTTGGGTTACATCATCTACACACACACACACACAGGGCTGATTGATTACAACCTGTGTTTATACAGAAGAAGGTTACAGGGGCAGAGCTCGGTTTGGTAACCCTTGTGGTCAGAGATATAACACAAATTTAAGCCGAAAGTCGCTGTAAAATCAGATATTTGAAGAGACAACCGCAATTTCAGACAAGTTAGGACACAGTAAGACGTTATTTAGAAGAAATGATAATTTTTTATTAACTCATGAAATGCTTTATTATTTGATAAAAGTGCAAAGACAGTATGTTGAAACTGAAAGATGTTATCAAATGTTAAATTTTTGGTGTTCCTGGACTCTTCTACTACACAGCCATGCCTGTAGCGTAAATTCTTTAAACTTCTACTTTGCTGTTCCATCAATTTCAATTGTTTCAATGATTTTGAATTACATTTTTATATCTTTTTGATTTCCAATTCTTTTGTCTCTGATTTTAAATCGTTTTATTTTTTTTAATTTTAAATTGTTTTAATCTCTCCTCATTTTTTTACTTTTTATGTATTTCCTTGTATCTGTAAAGCACTTTGAATTGCCTTGTGTATAAATGGTGCTATTAGATAAACTTGCCTCGCCTTGTTGTAGCACTTCGTCACCCTATCAAAATAATGGCCTCGTCATTTTTTGACGAAAATTAGTTTTTGGCCTAAATCGTCTCTAAATCATCTCAAGAGATTATCTAAGCCAAACACCCATTTTCATCAAAAAATGACTTAGGCCATTATTTTGATAGGGTGACGACTTGTTAAATGTGATTTATTATGTCACTGACCACTCACAAATGACCCTAATAAGCAGGGAGGTGTTCCTCTGGGTGTTGCATTTTAGACATGTTGCTGGTATCAGGTTCAAACTGAGTGTGTCATTTTCAGAAATCAACAAAGTTTTTGTCTCAACATCGAACCTTAAAATACAGGATTGCAAGCAATATGATACGGCCCCCCTTTGGAGATTTGTCATTATATTGCACAGTGTCCTTTCAGTTTTGGAATCAGAGCTGTATAAAATAGTGACTTTTCCTCCTCGATATTATTCAAGAATAGTTCAAATATGTAAAACTATATGCCATCAAATACTGAAGTTTTCTATCAGAGTCTGAACAATCTCAATAGCTTTCTTCCCACTGCTTGAATGCTCGTCTCTTTCTGTACTCTCTGGGTAAAGCTGTACTTCCATCTGTCATGAGTTTGGAGAGAATAAATCGCTGAGTGATTTCACTGTGGCATTTGTTCAGGGACATGCAAAAAAACCTAAAATCATTTAACGGTAATTTTCCTCTTGTCCTTGCATATCCCCCACATTTTCTGACTTCAGCGTCTCTGTCCCTCTCTCTCCCTCTATTTCTCTTGCTCTACCTCTGCTTTGCTGTGATTGGCTGGAGCTGCTGATGACATGTCAGAGGCAGGGGGGGGTGGCAGGATTATAAAAACTCTGTGCTGGCTCTGCTCAGCCTCACAGACAATCTCACTCTCCTCTGAGCTTCACTGAACGGATTATTTCACTGCCAACCAAACGAGACACTACTCTCACCAGCTGTTACCTGCTGCTATGTGTAAAGGATTAGCATCGCTGCCTACCTGCTGCTTGGAAAGGTACATGCATATTCCAACATGGATGATAGATGAAAACTTGGATATTTAAGATAGTTTTGCTGTTTTCTTTACAATTTGTGAGCATATGTGAGTTTAAGATTGCACCAGTGTCAATTTTGCTCAATTTAGACTTTCCTGTGTTGGATCTTTCTGCACAGAAGCAGCTTGTTTTGCATTAGAGTTTGATGTAAAAGTGATGTTAACCTGTTTCCCTTTTTTCCAACAGGGCCAAGGAGTTGAAAGCGAGGCTTGCAAGCATAATGCAAAAGTCAAACTGGATCATATCTGGCTGCAAAATAGGACAAAACAAGTAAGAATGATTAATTTCTCTCACTGTTACAGCTCATTTATTTTATTTGCATTGCTAGTGTGTGCATGATTGCAAATCTGGGTTAAAACTAATCAGTTTTCTTCCATTTTTAGGCCAACCCTGGAGGAATGTCTCAAGTGGAAAGAGTCGTTTGAAAAGCTCCTGTCCAGCAAATGTAAGTGAACATGTCGGTTTTCACTAACACGTGTGCAGATGCCAGTAAATGCACGCTGTAGACACACTAATGGGCACTTGCATCTCCTGTGGGGTCATTGTGCAACATCACTAATCAAATTTCCTCTCTTCCTCTCTCCAGATGGACTGTGTGCCTTCACAGCCTTCCTGGTATCAGAGTTTAGCGAGGAGAACATTGCTTTCTACTTTGCCTGTGAGGATTACAGAAGTACCAAGTCTCCTGCCAAACTGCCAGCCAAAGCACAGAAGATCTACGATGAATTCATCTGCGGCGATGCTCCCCGAGAGGTAAGGGTTCAGATACACTCACTTCCAGCTGCCCTGCAAAACTCCACATTTACCCACTCATTCCAGCTGCATCATGTGGCATTGTCTCATAGAACAGAACATCCGACTAATCCGCATCTGTCTCTTTGTCCCTTTTACCAGATTAACATCGACCACGAAACACGTGACCTCACCAAAGCCAACATGCAGACACCGTCGACATCCTGCTTCGATGCAGCCCAGCACAAGATCTACATGCTCATGGCCAAAGACTGCTACCCACGCTTCCTCCGCTCCCCGGCCTACAGGGATTTAGTGTGCCAAGCCAAACCAAGCACCAAAGCTACCAAGCAGCCTCGGCAGGAGAAGAAGGCGTGAATCCCCACCCACCCATGAGCCGCCGACGACGGATTGTTTGTAGTTCACCTTTAAGGGTTGAGATGGCAAGACGGGCATGGCATTAAGTGCTGCATCATGAAGCTGGATGCGGGTGCAGACGCAGTGCTCTTCATGAGGGGAGCTGCGGATTAATATTCTGCAGGAAGATAATGAAGTTTGAACGAAATGAAATGAAAAAAGGAGGAGAAGCTTCACTGGACGTTTGTGCGAATGCAGATGAAGCTCGAACAGAAAGTTAAAGACTCTGACTTTGAAGCCGGAGGACTGGAGAAGCTGGAAAGCACTTTTCTTTGCCATGAGGCAAACTCTTTTTTTTAGCTGTGATGTGCAATGTTCCTTTGTTAAAGTCTTACACTGTTTGTGAACGGGTTCATAATGTTACTTTACAGTTTATATTTTATTGTATTTATTTGCAAGTTATATTTGTCGCATTGATATCAACAAAAATGAAGGAAAATGTGCAATTCTATTTATAAATTTCTAATATTTATATCACTGTTGACTTTTTGTACATACCTGAAAATGAATTTAATTATTAATAAAATAAAGTATTTAAAAAATGCTTTAAACATGTTGTCCTCATTATTCAAAATGATGGTTAAAACGACATATTTTGTCGACGTCAGAGCTGAATTTAAAGGCTCTTATTTAGCCCAGTGACATGGATACGACCCTATATGCAAACATGAGGTCATGTGGAGTTTGCACACGACTACAAATACCCATTTTTTATTGATTCTACCTGATATAATAATGACAAATATGTATTTGCCAACATCACGAGCTGTTCTGCAGCTGCTGTTGTGCTTCAATGTTATTCACCAAGGCAACCGCTCTGCTCTTATTCATACACAACTCAATGACAGCATCTGCCTGCCTGCCACACGCTTTTGGCCCACATCATGTGAAAGAGAGGAGCTTTCTAGCAAACAGGAAGCAGCGAGAGGTGATGTGACAGACTGAACGTAGAGAAAGAGCAGTAAAACTTTATCATCGCCGTAGCAACTGTTTGCACAAGCTATTGACTTCAGGTAATAAATCACAACAAAGCTGTTACCAGGGTGGAGCATGATCACCTCTGTCTGCGAACTAAGCGCGCTGAGGAAGAAGACATAACAGAGGGATAAGACAAAACCCCTCAAAGCCCTCGAGTTAGGTAATAATGACAGTGATTACTTTGGATATCTGGTTTGATCTCATGAAAACGAATTACCGCGATGATGATTGTTTTGGTAAACGGCTTTTCCCCTCGACAGACGGAGTACAAACTGTGGCTGGAGGTCTGTTTTGTGTATTCAAATGTCATCAGTGTAAAGTGGAGCCAGTGTCAGGTGAATAACAGCTGGTCCACATGCAGGCCTGATGCATAGGAACATCTCATAATGCTGCATAGTAACCTTTGACATTTTTATCTCGATTCAAGCATGGCGGCGACCATCTGTAATACCTGTTTTATTTTAAAGATTTAACACACTGTGAACAACGTTACAGGAGTGTAAAGAAGTACTCTCACACTGGCCCACTTCTTTCCCTGAACATCACAAACTCAGAGCTATTTAACAGTAACATCACCATTAACATTCAATACAGGACAATGAGGGGGACTGGACTGCTTTTGATTTTTGACAATCATGTTATAGCTTCTGACTGCAGATTAAATTAAACTCAAGCTGATGCACATTTCCAAGGGTACGACTTGAACACAAGAAATTACATTTACTGCGATTGAATCAAATTAAGAAAAAAAGTCTCAGACACAAAGGTGATTCAAAGTCAAAATCAAGCATCTTATTTCGACTGAGGACTTCAACACACAGGATAAAAGGACACTTATAATAATTCAACACAAAAACGGCTGAAAATAACCGTGTTATCATGCCAGACCAGCAGGTGGTGATAGTGTGTAAACAACCTATCCTGTCAAACACCATAGAACAAGGGTGAGCAATTAATATTTACATGGGACCACATGAGAAACCTGAATTGTGTTGGAGGGCCAAACCAACCACCCGCGACACACGAGTAAACAAGCTTAAGTCTTTTATAATAAGCCGACTTGGCAACCATAAGGCGTCTACGAATATTTTGCCGATGTTTAAACTTGTCTCTGGATAGGATATACGCACATGCATCCAAATGGAAATAAAACACCTGCTAGGTTTTCAAAATAAAAGCAACACATTTGTATCGATGATTTGATTGATGGACCTCACGAAGGGCCGGGCAGGGACATTCAAAGGGTGGGACGTGGCCCCCGGGCCTTAAAATGCACAGGTCTGCCATAGAAGAACATTGTGATTATACGATTTGGGGATCTCTATAAAGACAGAATAAAAAACTGAATAATGTTGTATTAATAGTAGGGCTGTCACTATGTACCGATCATATTGATCATAACAAGCAATCAAATATTGATATACTGTTAAAAATGACACATAGTTCCATCTTAGGTTTATATTGGTGGTCCTGTACGCTGGTTGCCACAGACGAAGAAGAAGTAGCAGAATGCTTGCGCGCTCGCTGAGATGGTTAGAAACTTAGAGCTAATAATTTTCCCCTGTAAACATGCAATCAAACTGAGTACCAAGCAGACCGATGCTAGTAGCCAACCAACTTGGCACATGTGCAATACATATCAACAACAAACAGAACAGTTTTGATATTCAGGTGATTACACAGTAATATAAAAACACATTCATACCAATAATATTCAAATTTTATCAGGTTTTCGCAAAGTACAGCACCTGCAGAGCTACCATGAGATTCTTTTGGTGTGTTTGAATTTTGGCTCCCCCCTGTGGACAAAGTGTTAAAGAAGTAGTTTCAGACTTAGTCCTCATCCTTTTAGTCCTGAAAAGTTTTAAAAAGTCTGTTTTGTAAATCAGCCAGGATGACACTTAGACCCCACAACAGTTTCAGGCTTTAAAAACTACAATAGTGAGATTATAAGCGTCTTTATTGAAGGTCTCATTTGCTTCTGGATGTCATAAAGGGGCATCAGGATCAGTTTTTAGAGATCAGTTAAAAAAAACCTTATACCACCTTTAAGATGAAGCCTCCTGGATATGCTTATTTATGCACTAAAACGTCTGATGTGTTTGGTTGCATTTTTGCTTTATTACATCAAGTTTTTCTCCTTTTTGTTTAAAAGCCTCTTTTTTAGCTCCAAGGTTTGTTTTCATTTATATTATATTCATTTGAAAATGGTGGTATTCTCAGTTTTGTACCCCTATATCATACAAAGAGGTATCAATATAAAAATGTAAAAATACTCAGTATATTCAATTAATCCTTAAATAATCAATCCAACATACTTTTAAAAGCAGATTTGGAGTAATGGAAAATATACTGATGATGTAAGAATATTGGAAATCAGATACAGAGAGTTTTCATATTCACCAGAAATCAATGTTGACTGTTGAGAGGATCCATTACGACTTAAAGACACACACTATGAAAGCCGAGCAGTCATCCTGAACTCCCTCCTCAGATGTTATCTAAACTTATGTAACTCTGTCATTTCTTATTAAGACCCACTGTTGTTTGTGTAGGAGAGGTCAATAAAGTTTACTCAACATTCAGTTCAAGTTAAACTCAGTATTTTTGTTGTTTTTTCTATACAAGTTTGTTTTTATAATGGCTGACATTGGTAATAACCATGTGAGATGAATCTGATGGGAAAAGAGGCGCTCTTTCCAGAAACACTAACCACAAACCAAACACAGAGCCTTTCTTTCTGTAAGCTTTCTCACTTCAGCTTCTTTCCTGTGAATCTAAACTGCCAGTAGGGATACTTGGGAAAAAAAAACATCCTCCCCCTGAACCACTGTAGACCACAAAACCTCTCCTGGTTTATTAACTTTCTTGTAAGAGTGGTGGAACAATAAGCGGGTGGTGTGAAAGTCACTTTTAAAGTGCCTTGGGGGCCGCAGAGGACAGTTTTACAGTTGATACATTTTCAGTTTCATTTCTGCCTAAAATTGTGCCGCAGTCCTCAAGCTACAGCACAGCTGATCCCCCCCGCTCCACGGGGAAGGATCCTCTAGAGGACAAATATTAAATGGCAAACCAAAACTCTACTCTCTCTTTCATTTTCAACAAGAGACAGTGAGATGGGATCAGAAGTCAGCTGATAAAAATACAGACAACTTTGAGGCTCTCTACTTTTCGTACAAATGAAACTTTTGTGCCTTTTCATCCTCTCTTCCTCTGCAAAGATTTTTTTGTCCGCCTGACTTCCTACAGCAAATCTATACTATTAAACTTATATAAAAGCCTATTAAAATATAAAAGCCAGACGTGCAAACTGTGGAGCATACATCAAACTCTTATACCAGTTTAAGTCCAATAGATACGGAAGAGGATGAGGGCCACTGGAAAAATAAAATCCAATATAATTTTTAAAATTATTATTCTGAGAAAAAACTCATAATTCTTACTTTAATCTCAAAATTCAGATTTAAACAAAAAAAGTCAGAATTATGAAATTTAAGTCAGTATTCTGACCTTTTTCTCAGGAATCTGAGTTTAAATCTGTAATTCTGACTTTAATCTAAGAATTCTGGCTTTTTCCTCAGAGTTCTGAGATCAAAGTCAGAATTCTGAGATTGAAGTCAGAACTCTGAGAAAAAAGTCAGGATTCAAAGATCCAAGTCAGTATTCTGAGGCTGTGTCTGAAATGGATCCCTGACCCCTATATAGGTGACTACATGGGGGTTAGCGCCATTTTAAGGGATCCCAGAAATCTCAGTAATCAATTCCAGTGCCCTATATAGGCGACTCAAAATTTCCTATAAAGCATTGCAAAATGTAGTGACCATCCGATGGTCACTCACCAGTGGTGGGCATTCCGTCATGCGTTGCGTCTTGCCATGTAATGTCCGAAACTTCTGGTAATTGAGTTCACTACATAGTTAACTATACAGTAAAATCCCATATGGGGGTTAGGGATCGAGTGATTTATTTCGGACACAGCCTGAGTTTAAATTTGGAATTCTGACTTTAATCTCAGAATCCTGACTTTTTTCTCAGAGTTCTGAATTTTTTTCTCATAATTCTGACCTTTTTCTCAGAATAATAAATTTTTTAAAAATTACATCTGACCTTTTTTTCCAGTGGCCCTAATCTTCTTCCTTAAACAGAGGTATGTACACAGATGAGAAAGTTAATCTTGAACTGTATTATTTTGGTTAAATTACAAACACAGTAACTTTTTTTAACAATCTATTAAACTACAGAGTGTTGGGATTATTATGCTACTTCAAAACTCATTTAATACCCTACAACTCTTTTCACCCGTATTATACTTGGAGCAGCAAGCTTAACAAGTGATACAGGAAGCACATCTTTACCAACATCCCACACAATCAGTCTATTTGTGAAGGTTTAGTCTTGATGGTGAACAAAGCTTCCCACCCCTGCAGCTTCGCTACAACACCACTATATTCTTCAAACTCAATCCTGCTGGTATCGAGTTTGCAGATGATATTTGTAAGAAAGAGCCTCATAAATAAAGTCTGATTGTTTTCAGACTCTGTAAAACTTCCACACATCACACCCACCAACACAC